TCCAGGAATATAAACAGCGGCAGATGGAGGTCCTGGAACTTCCGATCCTCCCCCTCCCCCCAATCCAGAGTATCTTCTGCCAAAATTAATGTGCAATATTTTGTTTTTTTCTTCCTTTTAAATTTATTTTTCAGAAAGACTCGTCGTGCACCACAGACATGTCGCCCTTGGGGGTTGAGGAACGGGACGAGCCTTTGTCTGTGCATTCCGAGCCGGAGCCGCTCTGGTTCTGCTGTTCTGAGCCCGCGCTGGAGGTGACTGTGGAGGACGAGGTGGAGGAAGATCGAGTCTTTTCTTTAAAGTCTGTGATTATGACGGTCACGTTGCCCACGGTTACCGCCAGCTGCTGTGCGGTACTTCTGTCCACGTTTTTCAGCCTGGGCCTGGTGGTAAAAACAAACAGAAGGGTCTTTACTGAAGGTACACAAGCTCTGCCACAAAAACGGTGATAAAGTAAGAAGGGGAATGTTATAGTCACCTGTAAAAGCATCAAACATGCAGAAGCAATAAAAGTCAAATTCTACAGGATTTAGGGATCATTCAGACGGCGTGCACAGCCATAAAGTGACCGCGGAAGTCACAGGTGCTGTGTGTAATTGCACGCAGTGGCCCTTTCTTCCCTATGGGAGGACGCGGCTGCATGCAATTACATGCCGTCACATGCACATCCGTGCCGGTCCGGGTGTCTGCACTTGGACGCACACTGTCTGTGCAGATCCTGGTGTGCGTGTGACAGCATCTAATTGCATGCAGCCGCATCCTCCCATAGGGAAGAACAGGCCACTGCGTGCAATTACACACAGCACCTGTCCCTTCCGGGATCAGGTCGTTTTACGGACGTGTACACTCATCTAAATGAGTCCTTAAACTTAATAAGTTCTTGTAAATCTTTTCAATGGCGACACATTCTCCTATAAAATCTGTCTTTCTTTCCGGGTTATGGTTAGAGCCATTGTCAGGTATTTATTGCTTTCCATGTTCCTGTTAGGAAGATTTTCCTCACGTCCTCTGTGGTCACCAAGACAGGAAGTGATGAGAACTCTTCCCAACAGGGACATCGCTTTCAAATCTTGACAAGGAATCTAATTCTTCATCTCAAAAAAAACACTGGTCATATTTAAGGGTTAATTCACCTTTAAAAAAAAAAAAAAAGGAAATAACCTATTGCCCCAGTAGGTATGCAGCCAAGAAGCTGCCCCAGTAGGTATGCAGCCAAGAAGCTGCCCCAGTAGGTATGCAGCCAAGAAGCTGCCCCAGTAGGTATGCAGCCAAGAAGCTGCCCCAGTAGGTAGCAAAGCAGCTTTTAAAAATCTTCAGCAACGTATCCTCCATAACTGTAGACCATTTGCACCCCCACCGAAGTATGCTGCAGAAACTCCCAATATTCTTCATAGCTCCATCCTGACCTGTTTCCAGGATGAGCCAGGTATTAGACGTTCCCAGCTTCAAAGACGCAAATGCCTTCCTTGTTCGGAGCCACGTGCATGCGTCGTGCGCTCTCTCCTTTGTTGCGGCTTCTGAGCTCAGCAGTGGAGACGGGAGAGCGAGTGCGCTGAGCATTTGATGCTGGGGGGTAAGTGTCTAATGACTGACTCATCCTGGAAATGAGGCAGGACGGAGCTATGTATGCAGAATAATGGGAGATTTTGCTGAAGGTTTCGGTGCGGGGCCCAAATGGCCTCTAGGTATAGAGAACACATTACTGAGGATTTTTAAAATCTGCTTAGTTTATTGGTATCTAATGGGGCTTCTTAAATGCATGGGTTGTTTTTTTAACAAAGGTATATCAACCCTTACAATGCAGGCTCTGCTTCATGCACAGCAATGCTGCACAATGGTTGTGTGTTACGGGTCCACTGATACAAATCTAAGCAAGTAATCACGGAAACGGCAACCTCTCAATAAGGGCAAGGCCCTGTGTGTCAGCAATCTTCACTGGGCAAATGCAGCGTGCTTTTGAGACCATTCAGAAATTGACCTGCTGACCTGCTTTTGCATCCCCATAGACTTCTATGGGGAGAGGAGCAATTCTGAACCCAAGAAAAGCTTGTGGACACAGTTCTAAAATGAGCTGAGCCCAACAGTCATGTAGGGATTCGCATTCAAAATCCCACAATGACAAGGACCACTAGAGGGCACGTTACAAATCTACAAGGGAAAGAAACAATTAAAAATGTAAAATTCATGTCAAAAAATGACTATCAGGTGAATACTACGGTAACAACTCAACTGGTTTCCCTTTAAATCATGAACTGCTGGGAGGACTGGAATTGGGGAAGATTTATTAGACTGTCTGCATTCCTCTGTACTCTATACTATGATGTCATTATATACATTTACAAAAAAACAATGTTAAAAAAGAACTATGGCCAAAGCTTTTTTTGGTCGTAGATCACCTTCGGGTCACAGGAGGGCATTTACTAATGTCCTCCTGTCACCCAAAACTCAGCAACTAGCGGGCTATTGCCCGTTACATGCTGACAGCGCAGAGCCGTTCTGCAGCCGGGAAAGATCCAAACAATATTGTCAGGATCCAGCCCGCTGCCTGATTGACAGCTGGCTCGGCCTTTCTAGAGTCACAGCCAGCTGAGCCCGCCCCTTCCCCTGTCTGTTCCTCCAATGAGTGCTGGAGGAATGGAGAGGGGAAATCTCTGCAGGGACTGCCACCGTTCTCTGCAGGGAGAAGATCAGGAACGGAGTAATCAGCGTTATGTGATCGCTCAGTTCGCGATCTATGGAGCCGACATGCAACCGCTTCAATGTCACACGTTGGCTCTAACTACGGGAAGGAGTGTATTTCTCTCTCCTTTAAAGTGTGTTCCCAGTGGGTAGATTCACCCCATTTGTCCTGTTGATGATGGTCAAGGACACAGAGGTGGTCCAAAGTGCATATTAGACTTGACACTAGAACAAGAGGGGGTGGGGTGAATCTTACAGTTCCAATGGCAACCTTTCTCTCGCTTCCTGTTGTGTCCCCGGGACAGGAAGTGAAGGAAAATCTTTGCAATGGCACACAGACTGCGAAACATAAACTAGCAGAGTTCTTTCCTGATTAATGCAAAACAAACAGATGTTTTACTCGTAGGTGCACTTCAATAATGTGAAACGCCTACGTTTGTCAATGGCACTTACCTAGAAGTGTGGTTAAAGTTGCCGATCTTTGTCACTGAATTTGCAGACTGAATACTGTTCACTTCGCTTTGTGGGTCTCTGTGAATATCTGGCTTTGGTCTGCGGGAGAGACAACCAAAAACAACACACGCTATTTAGATTCTGTTTATGTCAATACAGACACACGTGCCAAGTCATCAGTCTGTTTGGCTAGCATGAGCTGCACAATGCGGCGAATGGGAATGCACGCCATCGCGTCAGCCCGAGGCGGAGGAACCCGTGGGGCTCCTGGCAGCTACTGGTACTACAAATCCCAGCATGGTCCACTAATCCTCTGATGGCTAGCCAGACCTGCCATTATAGTGTTTACTTAATGGAACCTTTGAGCACATTACACTACATACACCTTCAATGGGAGCATGGATTGGAACAAGCGCACAGAACGGAGTTCAGACTTCTCAGATTTACTGGCTGAGCCCAATTCTTTACCTTTTAAAACAAGTCATCAATGGCTGCTCCTATATTCTACCTACGTAGGCAGGGCCGTAACGTCAGATTACGGGGCCCCATAGCAAAAATGTGATGGGGGGACCCCCGATGACCTTTCTCTGAGCTCTGATAATGATGTCAAGATCCTAACGACTCCTCTTGTGCATTGAAGTCGTCTGTAGACTTTGCAGGGGATTAGAGTTGTCGTCAACTGCAACCAGTCCTACTCTTGCTACCTAATGGGGGCCCCCCCTCCCATCCCCAGGCACCATAGCAGCCACCTGAGCTGCTATGACTATAATTACGCCACTACACGCAGGTTCACTTTAGGGGTAGTGTATAGGCTGAATCTCTCAGGGCATTATAAAGCTGAACTCCTGGCAAACAGCTAAATACATAGATGAAATACTGCACCTATAAAGGGAGTGGTGTTACCTGCCCAAGAAGTTGCATGTCGGTCTAATCAGTCCTAAGATTTACAGAGCTCTGCCACACAGCACAGTCCTGTCTGACAGGGCAGGAGACCAGTCTTTTCTCTGATACAGTGCAGTAAAATTTACAGGTCTTGTCCCTCCCCCAGCCTGTGACTGGACAGTCAAAGTAGAAGCAGGAGACTGATGGACTCACTCTGCTCTTTCCACCTAATAACATGCTCCTTGCTAGCACATAAGCAAAACTGGCTCCTTGTGTGGCTTCTTGTCTCAGTCTGAGCTCTGCTGTAAGAGGCTGAAACCAAGTCAAATTCAGGTACACATTTCTTGCATTGGAAAAAAATTAAAAATTGTGGTGCTTTATTTCATCTATAACGGCATTCATATGTGCCCTGAATTCAGCTTTAAGATAACATAATACAACTTCCACTTTTAATCATGGCTGACAGTTTCCCATGCTTGTCAATCACTTTGCTCAGGTCCTGCCTCCTGTAACAGTACACTGTAATAGAGTGACTACACAGGTAAGGGCCGACACATCACATGGTCACTGGCACTTAAAGGAGCATCCTGTAAATGAACAGGCTCTATACTTACCTATACAGGGGCCTGTGTGCTGAAACACTGTCACTTTGCTTCTCACCGGCTGCCAAGATGGGCTACACTTTGGGTAGGTAGCCTACCTTATGTACAACATAATAACTATCCTCATACCCCTTTATTACCTCACCCCACACAATTATTACCTTTTGTATCACTTGCCCCTCCTCTTACGAGCAGGGCCATCCTAATCCTCCTGTATTGTAACTGTACCACTGTCTGCCTATATTTTGTAAAGCGCTGCGCAAACTGTTGGCGCTATATAAATCCTGTATAATTATTTAAAGACTGAATTCTCTATAAGCCTTTAATCTAAATCTTTACATTTTTATTTAGATTTTAAATCTTTAAGATCTTAAAGAGTACACCCAACAAATAATTTGTAATTAAAATTAAATCCTGAATAATAATAGATTTCATCTGGTAAAACTTATTTATATCGCTTGTGCATAATATTGATTTGTTGAATCTTTCGTCAACGAAACCATGAAGCCGGCTTTCTGGCCAATCAGAAAGCCGGGGGGGGTAAATGACTTGGCGTACAGGAAGCTGGCCAATCAGGAAGCTAGGCGGCGAGTCACTACACGCTGCCCGGCCTCTTGATTGGCTGGGAAGCCGGCTCTATGCTCCCTCGTAGCATGGAGCTGGCTTTCCGGTCAATCAGGAATCCGGGCAGCGTGTAATGACTCGCCGACTAGCTTCCTGATACTGGAAGCTCGGGCACTGGGCTAGGCACCAGAGCATTTCAAAAACTCGGCATTGGCACCGATACTAGTAACGGTGCATCCCTAGTATATTTGCTGGGTCTGGATTTATTATTGAAAAAGGGTTGACAGTTTAATACTACTTTAAACCTCCCCTCTCTATCCAAAAAAGAAAGAGGTTTCTTAGTCCTTTCGATAGAATTTCTCTTATAAACCTCCTTTGCATTAAAGGAGAACTATGGGGTTAAGGCTTTTCCCCATAGTTCTCCTTAGGGTAACGGGAGGACACAAACTAGTGTCCACCCGTCACCCTAGGCTCAGTATACCGCGAGCTACAGCTCGCGGTATACTGAGACGCCACAGCTGAAGCGGATCCCAACAATTATGCCGGGATCGGCCCAGCTGCGTGACTCACAGCTGGCTCTGCCTATCTAGAGGCAGAGCCAGCTGTACCCGCCCCCTCCCCCGTCCGTTCCGCCAGTTAGCGCTGGCGGATCGGGGAGGGGGAATCCAGCCCCTCCCCTGTCACGGCTCTCGAGAGGTGAGCGAACGCTGGTATGTGTTCGCTCACCTCCCGATCTACTGAGCCGACCTGTGACAGTCTCATTGTCACAGGTCGGCTAGAACTATGAGGCGAGTGAAAAGCACTCACCTCATAGTTCTCCTTTAATCCCGATTAGGTTGCCGTTCAATAACTTCTCTTTTTTTTCCTTTTACAGGACTGTGAAACCGGATTGAAAACATCGTTTCTGAGCCAAACGTAATCTCCCGACGCATAAAAGAAGAACTTTCGCCAACGCTGAAATATCCGTTGGAGAATATATCCCGGCAATGCGCTGGTCCCTCTCCCGTCTCGGAATGTAAATGAGCTATTGAAACCGTAGCAACAAATACACAACCTCCCAATATCAAGTAATTACGGGCTCTTCAGCCACGAATTGAGATCGCTTCTCACACGAGGAGGCAAACAATGCGGCGTCTTTATTCGCAAACAATGAGCCTTTTCACTCCCCTTCTTAATTCACGCATCTGCTGAGCCACCGATGTTTACAATGATGCAATTTACACTTACAGAAAACGGATAGTTGGCTGTCAGTTTCGGAGTTTCTTGCTCATCTGCGGTCCTATAAGAGCCTTTAACATTTTCCTTTGCCTTTCATCATAGTGTAAACTTTAAATGGGAGCCCCAGAAATGATCACCTTTTTTTTTTTGCAAGCTTACAATGATACAGCTTGGCTCAATTTAAGTATCCATATTCCATATCTAGAAGGGTGCTGGGGATGCTGCAAATTGCTGTAGTCCATGCTACATACAGTGACAGCCGTGATCTTTCCCCTGCGGTTCCAGCAGCTTGCCCTCTGCAAACTTACTGGTTCAAGCTTAGCTCAATGCAAGTATCCATATCTAGAAGGATGCTGGGGATGCTGCAAATTACTCTAGCAGCCCATGCTGCTTACAGCGATAGCTGTGATCTTCCTGCTGTGGTTCCAGCAGGTTGCCCTCAGCAAACAGAGTACAGGGAGTTGCCCAGTACTGCCGCTATTCAGAGAAGGCCTTGTATGTCTTCACTGAATACAAAGCATTATCTGATTGGATGTAAATTGACGATGTCACGATCTTCACCTTGTCCAAAGAGAGAACGGCTTGTATTCCAGGCATTCTCCGAATGGCGGCGGTGCCAAGTGAGCAACTCCCTGTGGACAGAGGGGAAGCTACTTGAACCGCACCAGGAAGATTGCAGCCATCACTGTATGTAGCATGGACCCCTACAGTGATTTCCAGCATCCCCAGCAGCCTTCCAGATACTTACATTGTGCCATGCTGGACCAATGCAAAATTGCAAAAAAGAAATCATCCCTGAAATTCCGCTTTGAAGGAGGATTCTGTTGAACCGTTGACATCTACAGGGAAGATAAAACGAAACCCTAAAATAAATTTCATAAAACAATGCTTTCTGGGAAACAAAGTGGTGTCCCCGTGTCTAACAGGTTACACATAAAGAAAAATTAAAAACTAGAGAGGAGCCAGACTTCCACGAATCTAAAAAAAAAGTCGTGCATGCATTAATCAATATCAGTTTCAAACACAGCATGGCTCCCACTTAAGATTTTCTTAAAGGGAAAGTGTCAAAAAAAAGCCCCAAATTTGCTGCAGTTGAAGTACTGCAACCAAGAGGTATCCCAATACTGAAGCAGCCCAAATCCCTCCCATTAAGGCCAAATGTCTGGCTAAGCTGCAGAACTTTCTGCTGAAGATTGCCCACCACATCCTGCCCCATGCACATCCATATTGGCCTGTACATCTGCACTATAGTAATAGGCCAATAGGAATATGTGCAGGTGGGGCTTAGTGGCAAGCTCCTTTAGGGCTACATGACAGTGTGTTTATAGCTCACTTGCCAATCCGTGTGCCTTTGTTACCTCCCTGCTGAATGTTGGAGCATTCAGGTATGGGAGAGCATGTAAGCTTCCCAATGGGATAATGCTTGGACCTGAGTGGTCAATTGGCCAGAGTCTGATTTATTAGGAAACATTGTCACTGACCAAAATGGGCAAAGTGAGTGTTTCTTTTAATGAGGGAACGAATATGAAAGAATCACCTGCACTCCATACAGAATATAGATCTCCAAATACCCAAGTTTGGTGCATGAAGTGACAACACGGATGGCGCCGTGTAAGATTCAGTCAGTAATAGAAGTCGCCAGCACTCGATCATATGTGCAAGAAGTATAAGCACTTTTATTGAACTGTCACAAGCGTCATTAAGCCATCGTTTAGGAGGACACGCAGGGTCCCTTCTTCAGGGACGACATAGTGACGTCACTATATTGCCCTGCAGAGGTTCCCGTGCATGGTCCCGAAACGTTGGCTTAATGACGCTTGTGACAGTTCAGTGAAAGTTCTTAAAGTTCTTGCACATATGATCGAGTGCTGGCGACTTCTATTACTGTTTAAATGAGGGAAGACAAATTATTTTGAGTGTCAGGTTTAAGCGATCACCAATTACATCTTCGTTAATAGAACAGACCTAGACTTTATCAATATGAATATAGAAAATTCCAATACATAGAATATGAACTATATAAACTCAATACCTAAGCTTTCAGCTGCTAGAAGAACTACGTGATCAGGATGGAGTTTCTATGTTCTCCTTGCGATTGTGTGGATTTCCCCCAGGTGCGCCATTTTCCTCCTACACTCCATGGCTATGTTAGGAGGTTTAAAGGTCACATCAGATGATCAATTGTGTCGCCAGCAGCAGAATCCCCCCCCCAGGCATGGAAATCCATTTCCCTAAACAAACTGCTCCCCTGCTGGCCCGGAACACTGCAGAATTTCACTAGGGAGAAACAAAGAGCAACATCTGGCTGGCCCTGCTAGGAAGGGAGCGCACCCAAAGAAAGAGGTAACTGGCAATCCTGGTACTGGCAACAATTCGCTAACACCAGATCACTTGTCATGCACAGCACCAAGGTGGTGCACTCGGTAGTCCTTTCACGTGTCAACCTACCTTGTCTTTTTATTAGTGGTCTTCTTGACAACACTTGAGTTAATGTCTCGTTCGATTTTCTCCTTGTCATGTCTGTCCCTGTCTACTTTCTGTTCCTTTTCTGGTTTTTCTTTATCAATTTTATCTTTCTCTGTTTTCTCCCTGTCCATCTTTTCTTTGTCCATTTTCTCTCGATCTAGCCTCTCCCGGTCTACCCTCTCCCGGTCTACCCTCTCCCGGTCCAGCCTTTCACGGTCCAGCCTTTCACGGTCAAGTTTCTCTCTGTCCATCTTGTCCCGATCTAGCTTTTCACGATCAAGCTTCTCGCGGTCGAGCCGCTCCCGGTCCATCTTTTCCCGGTCTAGCTTGTCCCGGTCTAGCTTGTCCCGGTCCAGTTTCTCCCGGTCCAGCTTCTCCTTCTCTGGTTTCTCCTTGTCCAGCTTGTCTCGCTCGCTTCTCTCCTTTTCGGGTTTCTCCATTTTTTCTTTCTTCTCTTTCTTGGGAGGTGGCGGGGTGGCATACTGCTGGGCGACTTGCTGCGCCACCAGCTGCGAGTTTATTCTGGGTTTCCTGCAAAATATGAAATTGAAAAGGAAAGGTGAATATCTTGTAGAGTAGTGGACCCAACTGGTGGCTTTGCATCCACCTAAAGCCAACCCACTCCCCTCATTGCTATCCGTGGCATTTTTGGTGGACCAGCTGCATTAGTAGAAACCAGTCATGACAGAAATACATGGCCTGCCATTGCTGCCCTCATTCACAAAATGCTAGCTGCCTGACCCTCATGCAGAAAAAGAGTATGCATCAAGAGAAGCCAGAGCTTTTCATCAACATTACACGTTTCAGTTCAGCGTCGGGGACAAGGACAGCAACACACCCAAGCAACTAGCATTTTTATGAGCAATGGCAGCCTCTTTATCAGTAGATTTCCTTCAAAGGGAAACAATGTTATCCAAGTGTCAGTGTATCTTTTCTGCTTTATTTTTTGCTTCTGATCTGGCCCACAGGCATATACTATGAGAAAAGCAATAATGCCCAATTATCATGCTGTTACTAAACAGGGAGCACAGTATGCATCAGTACTAAGCCAACATATCTGTTCCTATGCACATATATTATTATTAAAACACGATACAATTAGATATGTTTTCCAAGGAGCTCAACACATGTAGAAAATCTAATAACGCTGTGTTAACGTAAACACAATAAGGGGAATTTATCAAAACTGGAGCAGATGTACATGGCAACCAATAAGCATCTCTCTTCAGTTTGCTCAGGTAAGTTTTGAAAAGGAGACAGAGAAGCCGATTGGTTGCTCTGGGCAACTGCTCCAGATTTCGTCTGCTCCAGTTTTCAATAAATTCCCCCCAATGTGCTTACATCCATGCAGAAACCATGAAACGATTATTAGATGTATGGTTTTATCTAGGGATGCACCGATACTACCAACGGTGCCGAAACCGAGTATTTGGGAGAGCACTCTTACTCACTCAAATGCTCAGATACCTTCCCCGATAGCAGAACTTCGGGTCAGAGGAAGATTTCCTCTGACCGGCAGAAGATGGAGCCAGCTTCCCGAGCGATCAGGAAGCTGGGCGGTGAGTAATGACCCGCCTCCCTGATTGGCCGGGAGAAGCTGGCTCGATGTTGTCTGGTCAGCTTCCGATTGTGCTTTGCTGGGAAACAGGCTTCCCAGCCAATCAGCATCGAGCTGGCTTCACGACCAATCGGGAAACTGGGGGGTGAGTCATTACTCGCCACCTGGCAAATAATCAGATTGCCCAGGAAGCCTGCTCCATGGCAGCGGAAGCACCGGTATCAGTACTCGGTATCAACAAGTACGGAAAGCACAGTATCGGTACTCGTAGTCTATACTGAAAAACCGGCATCGGTGCATCCCTAGTTTTCTCTTAAGGTATTTGGAGAATTTTGGTCCACCAATTTTGGTCCACCACGGGCTTAGTCACTGACAAAAATCGGTTACGTCCAGTGCAGGAGCCAATAAAAATGATCAATGCACTCCACAATTGTGGGTGTTATACACTATATAAATCATTTCCAAAGGTTGACCGTCCTCCACAAACCGCTAGTAAGAACGCACGACGTGACTCAGGCACACCGTAGCAGCCACAATAGAGGCGACAGGTCTGCTTTAACACAATCATGGACAGACTCTACATGGCGTCTGATGCGCCGTGCCACTTTACAGCAGTGGAACAATGGAAACGCGATCCTTCAGGCAGCGAGGCGATTAAGGCAGCGCGGCTAATCTCCGATTCAGAGCACGTCGGTTTCGTGCGGCGGCGTCATGGCAGGACAGCCTTGTTCTATACAACAATAGCGTCTGTGTCCCTCTGAGGAATCACGATGATTACTTTGTCTGCCGAATGACAGCTTCACACTTATCGACTTAAAGAGGGGAGAGGAAGGACTGGCAGAAAGGGCTAAAGATTTAGATTATACAGTGCAGGGAAACCAAACGGATAAACAACTTTGGATCTTTGCTTTTGGATCACTCAAGACTATCAAGTTCCACTTTGCACTGAACTGGGAACATTTTAAGTTCTTGGACTGGCTCCATGACGCCCTGTACACAAGGAGGCAAAACGGACACCTTCTGCTCGACTCTCGACTAACTGGCAGGGGAGACCAATGACAAAAATTAGGCCCCCCAACATCAGGAGTCGTCTAGACACTGCCGTCATCTTTCACAGTTTGAAGTGAATAAAAAGATCTAATGAGTATTGAGCCAGTCGGGTCAATAGTCCAATACAGGCCTTGACGCATAGGTGCGAGGATCCCAAGAGAGCGCCTTGCCATACAACGTAGACGTAAGCCTCCTTTTCACCTCATCACCTAATTTGGAATCATCAGTTAGCTATGCTGTAAGAAAGCTGGTGTACAGAACTCTGTTGAGTCACATGGCTCAGTTGGATGTTTCAATCAGATAAAGCGAGCAGCAAAGCAAGCTGATCTGCTGTGCCGTCTTCTTAAAGCAGACCTTTACACTCAAAAATCAAATTCTACCAATGCATCCCTCCATGATGCATAATAACATAGACATGTCCGGTGTAAAATGTTGCGATTATGAAATATTTACACTTGCAGAGCATTCACTTCCTGCTCTGAAAGTGCAAATGACTTCAGGTTTGCCAAAGCGATGCAAACTGGGATTGCCTTGTCATCAGCAGAGCATTGCTGGGAAATCTCATCTGTAATCTCACGAGATCTCACGGAAAGGCATTATCCTCCAAAGAGATGATGTGCATGGTTACATGTCCTAGTCACATGTGCCAGAGTTCCAGGAAGTAATAGGACAGCTAGTAATCTGCCTTTAGTAAACATGGCCACTGCCAGAAAACTGGGGAAGAAAAGAGAAGGTATGCAAAGAATACAAAGCCTGCAATTATCTAGAAGTATGTGTTTGTAGATTGTCATTACTGAACATTTCTAAAAGGTGTGTTTGTTGTTATTTTAAAGTTACGGGTCAAGGTCCGCTTTATAGCGTATTGGAGTGCAACATCATCAGTGCTGGTCATCCCAACTCATTGTTCTGTTGCTCATGTTGGCAAGCAGCATGCTGGCCATTTAACTGTAGTGGCTGCTCAGTGGATGACACTCCCATTATACAGCCCCTGGGCTCTGGCTTCGAATCTCAGGGACATTATCTGCATAGAGTTTGTATGTTCTGCATATAATTGCGTGGGTTTCCTCTGGGTACTCCCTTTTCCTCCCATGATCCTCTAATGATCCAAAAGACATGTGGGTTGGATAATTGGCGTCTTCCCAAAATTAGCCCTACTGTGTGTGCAGATGTGCATGTGTGTAAAGACTGCAAGTTCCTTTGGGACCAATGTGAATGGTTCAATGCTCTCTGCAGAGCTCAGTGGAAAATAAACAGAGATCTATAAATGAAGAAAATGAATCATTAGGCACTCGTGAATCAATGCGTTATTTTAAAATACCAGATTTCACCAGCAGGTGGCTCTGCGTCTACAATCTGTTATTGTAGGGCTCTGGCAAAACAGCAGCTGTAGAAATGGGGGGAGTAGTATATTTATTACACCAAGAAACATTTTTGCTTTAGTTTTTGGTGGGATGACCAGTTGAATCGCCCATATTCTTGCATCTCCCCACTGACACTGCTAGCTCTGCACATCTATGCCTGCTGCAGCAGCAGGGGAAATCACTGCATTCTCAGGGACTATGCACACTTGTTTGTTTGCAGAGCACATGCCATTTTGCTGCATGCCAATGTATTACGACTAGATATCCAGAAGCTGGTTGCTGTTTGCAGAAGAGAACCCTTGGCCATGGGTTTACGTTAACGGCTCGTTCACACAACTGTGTTGACGGCGTCAACTTGACGCAACGACCTGGTAGAGCACCGAACCTGGTGCAATGTGCGACGGTGCCATTCATTTTAAATGGCACCCCTACACATCTGCAGCTTTGTTACAGTGCACCATAACACACAATCTATGCTGTGGTACAAATAACCGGAGTAGAAGCTTTTCTATGTTGGTGAGCTATTCAAAAATGAATGGACTGTGATGGTGCAGGGTGCCGCAATACACGATAGAGCTCGCAGCTGTCAATGCAGCTCAAGTGGGTGTGAAATTAGGTTATGGAAGTTTGGTGTTACGTAAAAAGTCAACGCACATTACAATTTGATTGTACAGTACAATCAATGTTCTATTGGAACACATTCAATTTTTGAGGAAACCAACCAATCTGGGTACAAAACTTTGACCATTTCGGATGAGGAAGGAGAGGTTAAATGTGGGAACGGAGTTCCATGTGCAGCATGGTAAGGGAGCTCTTGGGTGATAGGTATTGGGCTCAATGTGCAGCCTGCAGAGGGGGTTCTTGGATGATAGGCATTGGGCTCAATGTTCAGCTTGTAGAGAAAGCTCTTGGGAGATGGGCATTGGGTTCAATATTAAGCCTGTAGATGAAGCTCTTGGGAGATGGGCATTGGGTTCAATGTGAAGCCTGTAGAGGAAGCTCTTGGGAGATGGGCATTGGGCTCAATGTGAAGCCTGTAGAGGAAGCTCTTGGGAGATGGGCATTAGGTTCAATGTGAAGCCTCTAGAGGAAGCTCCTGGGAGATGGGCATTGGGTTCAGTGTGAAACCTGTAGAGGAAGCTCTTGGGAGATGGGCATTGGGTTCAATGTGACGCCTCTAGAGCAAGCTCCTGGGAGATGGGCATTGGGTTCAATGTGAAGCCTGTAGAGGAAGCTCTTGGGAGATGGGCATTGGGCTCAATGTGAAGCCTGTAGAGGAAGCTCTTGGGAGATGGGCATTGGGCTCAATGTGAAGCCTGTAGAGGAAGCTCTTGGGAGATGGGCATTGGGCTCAATGTGAACCCTGCAGAGGGAGCTTTTGGGTGAAAGGCATTGGGGCTCAATGTGATGCCTGTAGAGGAAGCTCTTCGGTGAAAGTAACTGGGGTCAATGTGAAGCCTATAGAGGAAGCTCTTGGGAGACCTGAATTGGGCCTAAATCTGCAGCCCTTATCCCATGTCCACCATTAGTGGCAGCTGGAAGAGGCATGTTGAGCAGTATGT